CCGCGTCTTCTTGCTTCTTCAGATTGCAGCACCGACCCTCGGTCCCGTCGTCGGAGGCTTCGCTGCGCACGCAAAGGGTTGGCGCTGGACGATCTGGGAACTGCTATGGCTCTGCGGCTTCACCGTCGTCATCCTCTTCTTCTTTTACCCCGAGACCTCGCACACGAACATCCTCTACCGGCGTGCGCAGCGCTTGCGTCGCCTCACGCAGAACCCCGAGATCAAGTCGCAGACGGAGGTCGCGGAGAACAATTTCACCGTCAAGGACATCGTCATGATGATGCTCGTTCGCGCTATCGCCCTCAACTTCCAGGAGCCCATCGTGCTCGCGCTGAACCTATATATCGCGCTCATCTACGCGCTGCTGTACTGTTGGTTCGAGTCACTGCCGATCGTGTTTATCGAGATCTACGGCTTCCGCCCACAGCTCGTCGGCCTCACGTTCCTTGGTGTGCTCATGGGTGGCGTCATATCTATACCATTCTTCTTCTACTACATGCGCCACTTCCTCGAACGCAAGACGAGCGCAAACGGGTCCCTGCGTCCGGAGGAGCGTATGCTTGGTGCGAGTATCGGCGCGTTGTTCATCCCCATCTGCCTGTTCTGGTTCGGCTGGAGCTCGCGGCCCAGCATTCACTGGATCATGCCCATCATCGGCTCGTCGTTCTTCAGCTTCGGTGGTGTCTTCCTCTTCGTGCGTGTTTTCTTTCTCTGTTCTTCTGTGTACTCGCTAACACAGAGCGCAGAACTCCGTGCTCAACTACCTTGCGGACGCGTACCCGATGTACGCAGCGTCCGTGCTCGCGGGCAACGATCTCATGCGCTCTGGTGCTGGCGCGGCGTTCCCGCTGTTCGCGGGTGCACTGTACCATAACCTCGGCGTCGGGTGGGCGAGCACGCTGCTCGGCCTGCTGGCTTGCGCGTTCGTGCCCATCCCGATCCTGCTGTACTTGTATGGCGAAAAGATCCGGCGCCTGAGTAAGCGCGCAAGACATGATATCTGAGCCCGATGCGGCGAAGAGTTGGTGGACAACCCTGTTTCTTGCATTGATGGAGGAGAGATACCCGTATGTTTCTGGTACAATAGATTACGACAGACACACGAGCACATTTACTAAAAGTTTTGACCGGCATGTATCTAAACTTGCATTCGATTTCGATGTCCTAGAGCCGTGTTTCCCTCAATAATCACATTCCTTTCTGCTCAAACGACCACTACATCTGCACGCTCTGGCTAGAGATGAATCTGGATTGTACATGCGTGCATTCTGTGTAGATATAGTAGTTTTGTGGACTGCTTGTCAGTATGAATCATGATCACGAACGGGAAAAAGGCGGATGCGTTGAAGACAACATAGCGCAAAGCCACAGGGCGGGAATGACCGCGTCGGCATTCAATTCGACTCTGCACCACCCTGCTAGCGGCGGATGGGAGTAACGAGCAGCGGCATATTGTCCGCAGGCTCTGCATACCACGCCGAGCATGAGCTTACACGACTCCGAACACGTATAGAAAGTGCGCACTCATTGTGATCGCTGCAGTGCGCTGCGGGAGCTGCCCCTTGTACGCCGGGGCGAACTCGAAGTTCGCGATAAGGGCGCTGCGAATCGGACCCGTCAGCACAGGACCGACGAGAATTTGCGTGGCACTGACCTGAGGACCGCCTTCATCTCTGATATCGCCATTGTCTTCCCGATGCACCCATGTGGGCCCGCGAGGAAGGACAGCAAGGACAGGGACGAGTTATACGTATCAGGGAGGTCGAGCCAGCGCTCGGGGCGGAACTCCTCCGCATCGGGACCCCACACATCCTTCCATGTATTGATGGCGCGGATCTAACATCAGCTGAGCAAGGGTCGCCCTTTCAAGCAACTTTCAAGCGCGCACTGGGAGACATAACAAAGTGCCCTTGGGAACGAATATGCCGTCGATCCAGTCGGCCTTCTGCGATTCCCGATGTGTCATGGGGGCGGGAGGCAAGACTCGCAGGCTCTCCATGCTGCGTCTGTGTCAGTGGATGTTGGAAAAAAAAGACAGCGAGAGAACGAACATGACGCAGTCGAGCGTTTTCAGGTCCTTTAGGGATCGGTAGTCTGGACGCTCCGTGTCGGCAAATACAGGCGAGACCTCTTCGCGGAGTTTGTCCTGAACGCGCGTATCGTTCGCCAGGAGCCAGAGTGTCTGCGGAGGGCAACCATCAGACGGAGAGCATCAGGGAGTATCAGGGTAGAGATATATTGCACACCCATGAAAGGCCAGAGGCTGTTGTTTCGTGACCAGCACCGAGGAAAGTCAACTGAAAGACATCGATATCTACAATCGCACAGATGATTTTCGAGAGGGTAAGCACTGACCACTTGGTCCACGAGCGCTTCGTCGCTCAGACGATAACCATCTCTCGCCGCGCCTCTTCGTGCCATGACCAACAAGCTCATAATATCCTTCTTCCCTGGATCGTCGATAGCAATATTATCTTCCAATCGTCTGCCCAGGATCTGGCGGGAGATGCGGCGTATCCTATGAACGGAGTCGACGAACGTTTTCACCGGTGCTTGGAATTGAGATAAGACAATCAGCGGATTGCGGGAGGAAGAGGTGTTGATGACATACCGAGTACCCTGAAAAGCTCAAACAAGTGGCAATATCTGAGGCACAGGTCCGAGGCTAGGAAGGTCGCCATTCCGGGTATACGAAGCAACTCGATGAGCACGGCTACGTTTCTAGCTGTCATCCGCTGCCGGTGAGGTTCGGTCCATGAGCGGCAGGGTTAGCGCTTACAGGACTGAAGACTGGTCAATTCCTCGTATGCCTTGGCCAGCTCATTATCAGAGTTGAGTAGGGACCCGGAACTGTATCCAAATGCCGTATCGCAGATGATGTCCAAAGTCACTTTGCTCACTGCAATTTTCGTCGCTAAGTTTAGTGTGAGTGTCTGATGGAGGTGAGAACGCACTCCATTCATGGACAAGCAAGACTTTTCCGCTCGATACATTATCTGGGGTGGTCAACTCGTTCTTCAATATCTTGACCAAGCTGAAACCAGACGTTCGTCAATCAAACGTTATCGCACTAGGGGCGGGAGACGAACACATCGATGGAATCGTAATACAGTTCCGTCTCTACATGAGGAAGATGAGTATGACATACATCCATGATTACAGAGGAGGAGAAAGTCGAAAGTCGACTCACGTGCCATGAGATTCTGGATTGAGAATGCAGGGTTCATGGCTTTGCGCATTTTCTTGTGTTCATTGCCGGTCACAGTCAGTAGACCGTATCCCGCGGAGAAGCCCAGGATGTTCCTCATCACTCTCGGCTGTCGACACGTAATTGAAGTGAGTAGGCCGTTCAAGAGTCATTAATAGGGAAACACGCACGCGTGGGTAGTCCACCCAGTCTGTGACGAGGATTTTCTGCAACGCCTGTGGCCCCAGGAATATCAGGCGCTCCCTGCCGATTGGCCCTACGACGCGTACTGCGGGGCCGTACTGTTTCGTCCAATCTCTTTGGACATCGCCGGCTTCTGAGTGGACGAGTGCTGGGTAATGGCCGAGAAGGAGGCCTTCGATAGGCGGTCCTGGGACGAAACGTAGCGGGGAGAAGAATCGGGGGTATAAGACGAGTCGGTAGACCGAATAGGCAATGAGAGATACTGTAGGAGCAGTGTTAACACCCAGGCTATCCCACTACAACGGCTTCAAGCCCCGGACAGGTGACACCAGCGAGTCACAGCAACACCAAGCGGCCTTGCGCACAAAAGGACCGTACGTACCAGTAAGGGTAATTGTGAGGTTGCCTGCCTGCAGCACGTATAAGTCCATGGCTGTTCGACGGCGTGGGGGGTTGTGGATGTACTTGTAACCATCGTTCTTGGGCTTATAAGTCGTCAATTTAAACCAGCTCCCTGAAAATCTTCTTCTCCATGACACAAAAGGGACATCATGAAAGTTATCTTGCCTGCTCTTCGATAAGTAGGTGATGCCTCCGGCGCGCACTGACATTCATGAATCATGATCCGACGACGAGCATCGGCCGCGGCAGAGTTTGTCATTACATACCTGGAGCGAGCCAGAGAAAATCGGCAGGCGAATTGTAAGCGACGTCGGCCTACCACTCGAAAGAAATAGAGCGCCGTTGCGTTGTCAGATTTACCGCCACCAGGATGGCTAGCTTGCGACCTGTATTTGGCGGATACGTCTGAGTTTAGTTGGAGTTCGGAGTAACGATTCGACGAAGTTGGGGTAAAACCTGCCAGTGCAAAGCTGCATTGTGTGTACATGTTCGTATGTCCTGTTCGAAACTGGACCGTTGCCAGATTGTCCTGGATAGAGTCTGATTCAGGGCCCGAGCAAGCCGAGTCCTCTGTCGAGCTTCGTTGACGCAACGTGTTCGTAACAATAGTGTAGTTGATACAAAGCTGATATCCGTTCTTGATGAATGCAGCACAGGGCACACTGGGCCGCGGCAGAGGAGGAAACCCGAGCCGCGTCCGCGCTGAGTCGTCCGCGGGGCCAGTCGACTCGTGGTCCCCCCCAAAACAGTGCAGTATGCGTACTTCTAGCCGCCAGACAGTTCGTCTAGGTTATTAGACTGGTCCAAGCGAGCATTAACCTTGAGATCGCTGGGATTGTAGGCTCATGGTCCAGTAAAATAGACTTCCGGACTTGTTTGGAACTCCCACCGAGGGGCGTGGGAACAACGTGGGAAGGAGCCTGGCTGACACGCTGACGGATCAATATTACATAATCAATCTCGACGCGTCGCCGCGCCGCCACCTCGGTCCGTCCGTCGCTCCCCTCCCATCTCTGCGTACAGTAAATCCTGCTGGAGTCGAGCATGACTAGTCTCGGAACCAGCCGTCTTCGGAGTGTGAAAGACAGAAAATGAGACACTGCTTTCGTGGCTTTTTTTCAGCTCCGATACGGCTGGATCCGAGACTAGAACATTACACACGCACGACCTTGCGACTAGCCTGGCTCTACCTGTACCTTGGCAATCCGCTTCCTTAGCTCAGTCGGTAGAGCGCAGGTCTCATACAGACTATATGTATGACTGAGCTAATGCTCAGGCAATCCTGAGGTCGACAGTTCGAGCCTGCCAGGGAGCATTCGTAGCGCATGCTGATTTTTGCACCTGCCTATTTTACGCCTTATATTATATATACGAGTATCTCTCATTTTCACTCACCGCGCAATATTCTCAAATCTTGTTGTTGCTGTCAGAGTTGCAATAGAGTGGCAAACTATTTCAGCACCCATACCCATATATTCGTTCGTGATCGCATATTTGAGTCGTGATCATTGGCTTGCGCGGTGTCGCCGGTGAAAATTACGGCGATATATAGGGGTGATAACTAGTAGAACCTACATAGAAGTCGTTACACAATATCTGACATGGACGCGCGCCGCATCAGCCGAATGTCATGAGTATCTACGATCACCTTGTCTAACTCTGAGAGGAGATTAGATATCATGTCTAGCCCGTTTGCTCACCATCCGGATCCTTTCTCCATAAACGTATAGCAGGATAGGTATCGGAATGAAAGCGCACGAAAGGAGACCAAGAAGAGTGCTTGCCCACCCTGTTCCGAGGTTCCTGTACATTGCCCCCGCGAACAATGGGAACGCAGCACCAAAAAGAGATCGCATGAGGTCGTTCCCTGCGAGGACAGACGCAGCGTATAACGGATACGCGTCTGCGAGATAGTTCAAAACAGAGTTCTGTAAAATTTGAATATCAGGATCATGAATCTCCGTAACAGGACGAGTTACGAACAAAGAGGAGGATGCCTGCGATGCTGAAGAAGGACGAGCCGATAATAGGCATTATCCAGTGGATGCTGGGCCTGGCGCTCCAGCCGAACCAAAACAGACACACTGGGACGAAGAACGCGCCCACGATCGCTGTCGGCATGCGCTTCTCCGGCTTCAGCTCGTTCCGCTCGTTATACTGGGGCTCCTGGTGGTAGTACAGATACGAGAAGAAGGGGGGAATGACGACGATGCTGCCGACCAGGACACCGAGGAACGCGAGGCCGACGTGCTGCGGCGCGAAGCCATAGATACCGCCGAACACGATCGGGAAGGACTCGAACCAGCAGTACAGCAGCGCGTAGATGAGCGCAAGGTACAGGTTTAGCATGAGCACGATCGGCTCTTGAAAGTTGAGCGTGAATGGCCGCACGAGCATCATCATCGCGACGTCCCCCGCAGTCATGTGTCGTGCGTCAATTTCCGATTGAGACATGATATGGGGGTTGCGCGTCAGTCGGCGCAGGCGAGCAGCGCGGCGGTAGAGGATGTTGGAGTGCGAAGTCTCGGGGAAGAACAAAAACAGGACGGTCGCCGTAAAGCCAGAAACCCACATCAACTCCCACAGCGTCCAGCGCCAGGTCTTGGCGTGGGCCGCAAACCCTCCAACCAGAGGTCCAAGTGAGGGCGCAGCCACCTACGAGAAATGCGGGTGAGACGCGCTAATGTCGATCACTATCATAACCCTTACCCCGAATAGACCCCACAATGCGATGCCGTATGATCGCTTTTGGGGAATGAACATATCCGCTATCGTCGCGCCGCCGGTCGCTAGGATTGGGGAACCAACAAAGCCGGTGATGAAACGGAACGCTATGAGCATTCCATAGTTCGTCGCAAGCGCTGTGGGCACCTGGAGTACGGTGAAGAGAACGCAGGTCACGATATATATCGGCATCCTGCCGATTTGTGGTATCTCGCTCATGGGCGACAAGAACATCGGACCTGGAATACTTTCAGCGCTGCGGAAACGAAGCGGAGGCTGACATAAACTAACCTATGCCATATCCCGCGACAAACGCAGTCAACCCAACCGTAGCCGCAACTGCGCTGACGCCGAAATCCTCCGCAACACCCGGGATCCCGGCGGTATATATCGAGGAGCCGATGTACATTGTGAACGTCCACAAGCAGGTCTGGAACAGCACCCAGAATTTCTTGTTTCTTGACCAGTTGAGAGGTTTCTGCGAAGACTTTAGAATTTGAAGCAATTCAATAAATGAATATTACTCACTGCCGGGTCATCTGGACCATACCAATCGACCAACAGAATCGTAGCCTCCCCTTTCTCAGTGTCCGAGGCGCCGACGCCTTCGGTATCGAGGACGCGGGTAGCTGATGAGCGGGGTGACAGGGTATGAGTATTCTGGTCATCTTGTTGGACTTCCTCGACGGAAGGGACAGCGCTGGTGCGTTTCCGATCTTCCTGGTGCGGCGGATGCTCTGTGTCCGTCGTCTTCTCCTGGTGAATCATGTCGGGCCATAAAGAAGAATCTAGCTCCTCTGCGTGAGGGGCGATTCGAATCCCTAGGGAAAGTCGTAGAAGGTAGTCGATAAACGTGTCTTGGAAAATGGAGGCCATCGAGGGGAAGGGGGGTATGTACACCTCAAAACCTCCGCCAAATTTCGCGACGACACGCTTTTATGTATGGCGCTTCTGACAGTAGGTCAGCGTCCGGAGAAGCCAGATCGGTGCGACAAACGATCAGCTGTACCGAATTGAGCCAGCCAGATCGGTGAGTCGACATTTTACGCACGACGAGGCACGTTGAGCGCCGCGAGTGGTAAGCCCGACACCACAAACACGTCGACGAGCTGTGTCATCCCAACGAAGATCAAAGTTCTGCAAACTTTTGGGGAAATTCCGCGTTCAAGTTTTGACGCCCGATCGGTGATTAAAGCGCGCCTCACCTTGGCAATGCTCTCGAGGACCACCGATCGTGAAAAACCCACTGCGTGCAATCGAGCTAAGGAACGTGATGAAATTACCGGGAGACTTTTGCTGCTTCGTCGAAGCTACCGGTTCATTGTGCGGGATTCGTTCTTGACGGGCACTGGAAATCCCGGTCGTTGCTACGGGGTTTGAGACAAATGAATGGACGTAAGAAGTGTCCAGTTCGCGTTGATGTCTTGTTGCAGCGTTCGAGCTTCCGTACCAAGGGAGTCACAAATGGAAATACGAGGACGTACGCCCTCGGTATTGTGAGCGCTCCCAGCTCTTTATGACTTATCCGAGCCTGGCATCTTCAACAGTGTAATGAACTCCTTCTCCGAACGTCCATCCAATCTGAGACGTCCAAAACGAGAGGATCAGTTCCGGGGACAGAGTCAACCGGGCCAGGACGTACAGCTATTGTTCATGATCAATGCAGACTGAGCAGTGGGATCTAGTGAGAGCTCAGAAAGTTGGAACGTACAGCCAAGTATGCACCGCAAAATGCCGATGGATAGACGCTGGCAATCTGGGTAGCGCTCATCGCTCAGTATCAAAGTCGCAAGGTACTATGCACAGCGATTCGTTCTTGTTTGTCCATCTTCGAGTTGACCTATCTTCATTCACATAACGCTATATATTCCGCCCCGTTCACTTCCCGATGACATCTGCCAGTTGTGTTTTAGGTATTGCCGCGGGAAACGCCAGTCGCTTCAACCTGGTGTGGGTCGCCTGCTCGTATGCAAACGCATACGTGATCAACGAGAACTCGCTGAACGCTGTACCCATGAAGGATATTCCGAACGGGAAACCAGGGCCGTTCTCAATGACTGGGTCGGCAGGCGTTGCCGTGACATTATCCGGTTGGAATCCTAGCGGCACTATAAAAGAGGTAGATCGGTAAGCACAGAAGGCAGACCGAGGAAAAGAAATGACTACCAGTTACTACGGGGTATCCTGCCACAGCGGCAGGGGTCGACGTAAATCCTAGTGGGACAGACAGAATTAGCACAATGAAGATGCCAGTCAGCACAGTACATTACCATCTGTCGGAATCAATATGGCATCGAGATTGAACTTCTTCAGCGTGCCATCGATGCCTCGGGTTTGCCCGAGGTCCTTGTCAGCAGCTAGGGCAGTAAAGTAAGCTGCGTCGACAGTGGTGTTCTCAGCTGCGAGGAATCTGCATATTTTGAGACGACAATCACGCGAGAAACTAGACCGCCTTACTGGGATTGGTCTGCATAGAATGGCGGAATCAACTCCTCATTTGCATGCGCGATGTTGAATGCGATGAGATCGGCCAAATCCGTGACGCCAGTCGGCACCTTCAACAGCCCAGAAATGTAGTTCTTCACATCAACCTGTACCCACCCACGCAGTCAACAACTGCGGTCCCTGTCATCATCCATTACGCACCTTGAAATCCGTGTTCAATACTAGGGTCTCGTTATTGGATGCTAGTAACTCTTCGGCGTCCGGAAACTCAGCGGGATCAATGACCGTGGCGCCCAGGCCTCTAATTATCTCAATGGACGCATTGAAAGCAGCCATGATGTTCGGGTCGCTACTTTGAAACAACCGCGGAACGCCCAGACGGACACCCTTCAGGCCGTTCGGCACAAGTGCTTTCGTGAAATCGGGCACCTCCCTGGGCTGCGCTAGGGTGAAGTTGTCGAGAGGATCGCGCCCTGCGATGATCGTCAAGACGGTCGCAGCGTCTGCCACTGACCGCGCCATCGGGCCAACAGTATCCTGATGGACAGATATCGGAATGACTAAACGATGACCTCAGTACGAACGTAACATGATGGCCAGATTCCGCTTACCTCCAGCTCTCGATGTCAGACCCACTGTTGGCTTGATGCCAACAAGATTGTTCGCGCTGCTGGGGGATATGATCGAGCCGTCTGTCTCGCTTCCCAGGGCGGCCGCCGTCAAGCCGATAGCTGTCCCAATCCCGCTCCCAGAGCTCGATCCAGACGGATCTCCAAGCGGTATGTACGGGTTGGTAGCTTGCCCACCACGGCCGGAGAACCCTGACGGGATGTTACCACGGAAATGCGCCCATTCGGACAAGTTGGCTTTTCCTAGTAGAATTGCGCCGGCAGCACGTAGCTTCGCCGCCACAGTGGCGTCTCGGGGAGGGATGGATCCAAGAAGTGCGAACGACCCTTCCATGAACGTGAGGAAGGCGTGGGAATTTACGCAAATCCAGTCACAAACCTGCAGTCGTGTTCATACCTGCAACATTTATCAATTTTCAGTTTCGGCGAGTCAGAGGCAATTCACCATCACTAGCCCGGGTTGCTATATTGTCTTTCAACAGGATTGGGATGCCATGCAAAGGGCCGCGAGGACCTG